TGGCCCATCACGTGCCAAACGGGAGGCACGTGACGGGCCAAACGGGAGGCCCGTCACGTGCCGAACGTTAGGCCCGCGAAGGGCCCACTGAACCAAATGAAATGGGCTTTTCGTGGACCGTTTCACGGGCTTGGGCCGGGCCGAATAAGGGCCGTGCCGCAGGCCTCCACGTGCTTGGGCCGTGCTTGGGCCGCGGGTTGAGAAGTTGAGGCCCAGTCCTAGTCCATTACACGTGCCGTGCCAGCCCGGCCCGTAGCAGTAACGAACAGGGCCGTGCCGAATCACGCACTATTACAGGCTGGGCCGGGCCGTCCATGGACGGCCCGGCCCATTTGACACCTCTAGGTAAAACCCACTATTTGTGAGATTAACCTTAAAAAAAAAAAAAGAAAATAGTCCAAATTACATCTATATTGTATTATATAATTATGCTATAATTTGGAATTCAACATCCACAATATGGATTCTACTACAGAATTTCGCTGAAAGAAAAAAGAAAATGTAAGAGTAAGCCCTTGCATATATTATTCACCAAATTTTAGCCACTCCACGGAGAAAATTCTTTATCCTATATCCTATCCTACTCATCTCTAGTAACGTTGGATCCGTTTTTCAACGGCGCCAACAAAAGAAAACGAAACGTTTCGTAAACATTTGTCTTTTTTTTCCTTCCCTTCTTCTCTTATTTATTATATTATATTATAATTATATATATATATATATATAGGCAAAGTCTCTGGTCAGACACTTGAAAAGTGCCTTATCAGAACGACACTTGTACATTTATATTGAAGTGTGTATATTTATATGCGTTTTGTGTATATATTTATATGTAAATATGTATATAAAAAATGACAATGTATATTAATCCTCAAAATATGTATATTTTATAGTAATTAAGTGAATATATAGCATAAAAATATGTATATCGGCTATAATACTACTTACTAGAAACTAAAGTAAAAGTCACATACAAATAAGTTAAACTCATTCAAAATTTCAAGGAGAAACGTAAGGCAGCTTCTGCCAATAGTTCACCCACTTCTTCAACTTCTTATCCATCTCGAAACCTTTCAAAAAAATGCATAGAAAAAACGCTATAGGCATCCCTTTGGCATAATCCGAATCCCCGCCCATCGCCTTCTTCTCCATAATTGAAGTCCCCCAATTCATCAATCCAGCAAACGAGTTCCAACACCCACGTTTCCTCCCGGCCCACAATTCGAAAATAGTCCGGAAACTCGAGGATAAGGCTCCGCTCGTAATCCGAAGAAACATACTTCATGAAAAGAAATTGGACTTGTAGTTTGGTTCGCATTAATGAATGTATAAATAATAGTAACTTCGAAAAATGATTTCCAGCCTAAAAAAACAAAAATCTTGACCAAATGATGGAAGGGAGACACAAGTGGAATCAAAGACTTTAAGGTAGAATTTTTTGTTGAGCTTTGTTTGGAGCATCAAAAGAAAATATAAACAAAAGAAAGTAACTCTTTGACGATGAATCGCAAGAACTTTGCTCAACTTCTCTAAAGGAGCAACTTTTTTTTTCCTCTTAGTATTTTGCTTCGCAATTTAGTGCATAGATTGAATCTACGAAAAATGATTTAGTATAAAAAAATGTTTAATATTCAAGAAGTAAATACATTTGAGATTATATAACTTCATTAAGACAACAATACCTGACAACAATATCGATGGAAAAGGAAACCCATATCGACTGAGGAGAACAACGGAGCCTCATGGCGACGAAGATCGACATAGGACACAATAGGGCTGGTGTTAAGTGGCGAAGTGGTGGTTTCAGATTCATTGAGAGCGGGAGTTAGGCTTTCCTAGTGAGTAAATTGACGCGGATTAGTCTTCATTGACAACGAAGAGAACAACCCAGATATGATGATTGGTGAAGATGGTGTGGGTCAGCTCTTCTTCTTCTTCTCTAGTTTTTGAGGTCTGCATATTGTCCCCCTCTTTCCGCCGACGTTGAAATACCCCACGGACCGGCCCCACTTTCTCTGCCGTTACAGACGACAAACTTGGCCAGAAAATTTAGTTTTCAAACGACACTCGTTTCATCTTTATGAATAACAAATATTTTAATTAATATAATAATCATTGAAGGTACCCCTTCTATTGCTAATTTTTTTACTTTTTGTCAGCTAAACTATAATAGGTGCCCTAACTTCTACCGCCCAAACATTGAAAAATAACTTTTTTTCATGACCGTCCAAATAGCAATCCAACGGCTATGTTTACTGTGCTGACTGGACAGGTATTTTTGAGGTGCCGGATAGGAGACCATTCCTATTTTTCTATTTATTTTGTTGCTTCACTCCCTAAAATTTTATATATTTCTAAGTCTACTTCATTTTTATCTTTTACTTTCTGATTTGTCTTGCTTAATTATTTTTTCCTACAAATATATACCCACTTACACACACACACACACACACACACACACACACACACACATGCATCTACTAAAACTAAATGGGTTTTTAAGGACCACTAACGAATCGTTAATTACGGTCTCATTTTTAGTTTTTTAACTTTCAACTTTTTTTCTTTTAACTTTCCTTTTTCCCTTTATTTTTTCTTTTTTCGTCCCCTTTTTTTCATTCTTATCTATTTTGCCCACTCCACCATTTTCTTCCCCAAATTGACCCTCACAAGTATTAAAATAATTTCTTTTTATACATATTACTGTCCATATTTTTTTTCTTTTAACTCTCATCCCCTACCGACCAAATTTGAGGCTTAGCTGAAATTGAAATCATCAGCATAATGCAAATTGCACTTGGACTCCCCTTTTTTTTTTTTTTTTTTTTTTTTTTTTTTTTATTTAAACAAAAAAAAAAATGTATAACCAATCAACAATGTGAATTCATTAAAAACCCACTAAAAGGCTAGGATACAGAAAAATCTAAAGTCATAGAAAACGAGTATCACTCACATGATTAGAGAATGTAAGCACACTCTTAACCCAACAGCATAGAGGACTCCTCCAATAAGTAGAATAATAACATGATTCGGTCACACAGAAAAGACTCAAGATGAGCCACATCTTAATCCGAAAATGGACCCAAGCCATACAAAATAGACTAAGAACGGTAGGGAAACCACCCTCTGGCGAATCCATATGCCGCTAGATGGGAAGCCATTATCGTTAGTACAACACTAACATAAATAAAAAACATAAAAACTATAAAAACTTAAAAATCCCAAAAGATCAACCCAACAAAATCAAGCCCCTCCACATCGGAGATATGTAAAGCACGGTAGGAGAGGAGCCAGAAAAAACACTTAAAACGGTGAAGGAAAGTTGGAAATACGGTGGTGCATGAATCTCATGCGCGCGACGACGGGCAACAATTTCACACGCGTCGATTCACCTTCCTCGCCTCCCTTCCGCGACCTAGTTCCTGGAGTTTCAACAGAATTCCACGGCAAATGCGTCCTAAATCTACGGTAGAAGAACGACGACTTCTTCCTTTGAACGACTCTATTCAAATTACTATCTACATTTCTGTCGGCATAAACTCAACGCCAGTGACCTTTACAATCTTCCCAAAGAAATCTAGAAGCCGACAGCCTGTTCTCTCTGTTCTTATTGAGCCTCTTCCTAACTTTCTCTCTCTAAAAATAACGTTTCTGATATTTTTTTTTTTAATTTGTATTCCCCCTTTTTTCTTTTTGCTCCTATTATACTTTTTTATTTTTTTATTTCTCCAAAATGAGACCCCTAATAAATATGTTTTTATTCATTCTTGTAGAATCTCGCGCATGTATTCGTGTGGTTTCAACTAGTACTATACAACGTACGGATAACCAAACTAATTAACTATTTTAATCACAATATAACAAACAATCATCATATCACTTTATATATACTTGAAATTTGTTAAACTAATGTCAATCAGAAAGTTTAGGTGAAAGAACCGCACATATTCTCCCTCTCCTTTTTTTGTTTTTTTGTTTTGTTTTTTTTAAGAGAAGCCACGGAATCTTCATGCCACCCATACCAAGATTTGATTAAATAATATTGTTCTCTACTAAGTGAAATCTCAATCCCGAAACTTTGTACACTTCTCATCGGACAAAAGAACAATTTACCAACTTTAAGCCCCGTCTTTCGGCTGAATAAGTGAATGAAACTACACTATATATATGTTTAAATAAACAACTCTAAAATGTAACCAGGACAGAAAACATTCTTTAGCCATCAATAAACTTTCGAACTTTTTTCCCTCTGCACCAAGACCTAACATCTAACAAGTTGGTTTCCTGCTTACCAAACACTAATTCAAAGGTAAGCACAGCCTTCTTAAAGTGAAAACAATTGCATGGAGTACCTTGATCATTCCGGCGTTCGTAAACAGCCTCTGGGTAAAAGAAACCTAAACTTATCTGCATTCTGTATCAAGTAGGCAGGAAGATGAACTGCAGAAGCCGAGTGGGGTATTGGTCCCATCTTTTTTATCAATTCTTTGAAGGTGTACTCTTCCGGTAACATGTCAAAAAGGTCGTCTCCTTGGCATATAAGGCGCTGAATTCTTGAGTAGTTTAAGAAATCTTTCTGGCTGACACGGTCTGCGTGGCTGTAAGCAGTCATCTTAAACACAATCTCTTGAATACGCCGAAAGCAGAAGCTGCAGTGCCATCCTGCATCTGAGAAGAGATGATCAGTTTGGCGTGAGTGGCGATAGCGGGTTTGTGGGCCATAAATGTGCGCTGTGGCCCGCCAGCTGCTGTAGTCAACCGGGAACTCGAACGAGTACATGTAGTTCCTCAGCTCAAGGTGCATCACTGGTGGCAGGCCATCACACCATTGCAGCAACTTCAGGGTGTCTGGACTGGGGATCTCATCAGCATCCGACATTATAAGGACGTCACCATAGGAAATCCCTGAAAGACGAACTAGTCCGTCCATGGCGATTCGCTGCCTCCTCTCTAGCGCGAATGGATCATTACGTGATCCTCGGGTTGCAATCTCACCAGGGAACACGTCATGGACAACCTTCTCATCAGCGAAGGCAAATCTATCCCGGTTTGATGCAAAGAAGAGTGGTTTCGGGATGCCAGTGAAAGTGGTGTTGGACTCCAGGATTACAAATTTTGAGACGTATGGATTTAGCTCTCGCCACCTGATCTCAAGCAGATCTAGCTCATTACTGAAGATGATGCCATCAAAAATGAGACGGGGCTCAGATCGGAGTGACCAGCCATGCAGCCGGCAAAGGTGGTCCATCGATACATTTTCTGCATAGTAATGTGGCAAGTGTATAAATGGCCGAGGGGGATGGTCCCAGAGGGGACGGAATAAATAGGTAAGCTTCTGGCCATGGGTCAATATTCCAATCACACAAACAGGCACAAGTATCAATAGTATGACGAAAAGGAATTTTCGCGGTGGCAGTCTAGAGGTATGCCGTAGAGGTCGGATCGCCATATTCTGAAGTTAAGAGCTTAGTCGGATGGCAAGTTCCTAACATGTTTGTCCCTGTTCAACTGCCATAACGGTAACAGATCTACAACTCCTGATCACCTGCATGAAATTAAGAACTATGGAACTATGTGTTCTTATTCATTCTGAGGTAACAATAACAATGAATCACCTATTAATGGAATAAAATCACTACATGAGAATTTAGCAGCAATTTCAAGTTTCTGAAATAGAAAAAATTTTGTAGCACGTTTAATCCAAGGCTGGAGAATTATGCGTATTTGGTTGTGATATAATTCTAATATCATCAAACATTCAGAAACACGTAGTATAGGTACAAAATGAAACACGTAGTATAGGTAAAAAAATATCTACCATACACGCTCCCGTATAGTATTTCTAGAAAATATTAATACAAACAAGATCATGCAAAGTATAGTTCTTTTATATAGTTTAGAACAGTACATTATTCTTCTTTGGCAGGAGACTTTCAGTGGCAGAGTTAAGTCCCTCAACAAGCTTGCCAAAAATACTCAAGAATTCTGTTCCGCCTCTGAAATGGCCTACAAAATGATAATCCAAATGAAACCATTAACACATATACACAACATATTCCATTTGAAGTCACATGTCAAATTTTCATAGTCTTTCTATCGAAGAGATCAAGCAGATCCTAGAAGGAAAGTAGAGCAGTATATTAACAAACAAACTTTAAATACTTTCCTAAGTAAAGATCAAAACAATCAGTAATTTCCTAATATATTCCCAAATTTTTCTTTCCCCTCTTATAATAAAAGGTCATTTTAGATAATGAAGGTCCACTGAAAGAAAAAAAAAATGAAAGGAGTTCACTAAGCTAAAAAAAAAAAAAAAACCACAACATGGAAAATGAAAAAAAGGTTTAGAATCGTTCTCGATGCACATAAATAGTTACTAAGACATAATAATTAAAAAAAAAAAAAACTGTTGCCAAGTATATGTGTGTTATTTTTCAATCAAAATCTGTCGGAAAAAAAAATCCCTTAAAAAATTCCTGTCAAAATAGTTTGCCTCGTAAACTAACTCGTCAGAAAGTCCAAAATTATGACAGTTGTCTTCTTCAGATCTTGAGGCTCGTATTTGAACTTTCCCTTTTCAGGTTTGAGCCACAAATCCCATTTCTTAGAAGTTACTGAAAAAACAAAAAATCAATTTATAACACCTAAATTCATAGTATTCAAAACAGTGTAATATTAATTCACTACACAGTAAAACAAAGAATGACGCACATAGAGAACTTAATTTCCCTCAAAATCATATATTATATATATATATATATAATATAGATAGAGAGAGAGAGAGAGGGTTATATTTTGAAGCAACATTGTCAACAGAATTTAGACAAAAAACCTAAAAAAATCCTTACAATTACTTATCCACATTCAGCAAAAAGAAAAGTCGATCCAAAATCGAAACAAATTGTTGCGTGAATCCGAAATCTGAGCTCGAGAAGTTGGCAAAATTGAGGCAAAAAAAAATCAACAATCGGAGAAATGGAAAGCTAAATAAAGTGGCATAAGATTAATAAATGCATCAAGTTAAAAAGGAAAAATAAAAAAGGAAAAAAAACAGGAAAAAGAAAAAGAAAACAACAAAAGCAAATGGAAAAATCATCATCATCCTCGTTCTTCATCAGCGAGAGCTAAGAAGATTTCACCTTTTCGGAGTTTCAGAGGCCTCGAAGCATTCCCGCCAGTTCTTGAGAGAGAGAGAGTCGGAGACGGTCGAAGAGAGAGGGTGATGATAGTTTAAGAGAGAGAGAGAGAGAGAGAGAGAGCGCCGGTCACGTGCGGTGTTGCAGGGGAAGTGGGAGTGAACTTAGGAGAAGCAGAGAACAATCTTCTACAGTTACGTTTTGCTTCATTCTCCACGTGGCAGGTTTTGATTAGGTTTGATATTGGACGGAGAATTAGATGAGGAGGTGGCTTTTTCTGTGTCTTTTATTGGCCGGATTTTGTGGAACACGACGCGATGGAGGTGTAGGGGAACCATTGGTATTAACGGCTCACAGGTGGGTGAGGTTGAACGCTGTCGCGTGACGTGGCCATTTGCATGATGGGTTTATTCAAAAAAAGGAATCAGAGTGATTAGGACATGTAACCAAAAATGTGTGTTTTCATTTCAACAGAAACTAAAAGGACCTCCGTAGACGGGAACAATTTCTAACCGTTTAAATCCGATCAAAATTAGAGTAAATTAAGGTTTCATTTATTTTATTAATTTGAGTTTAAAATTTAAATTATTATAGTAAAAAATTTTTAAAAACAGTCACATTTAATTTTTTTATTACAGTAAAAAACTCTCACATAAAGTTACATTTCAACTTGAATTAAAAACTCAAATCAGCGAACTAAAAATCCGATCAAAATCACGGTAAATTAAGGTCTCATTTATTTTATTAATTTGAGTTTAAAATTTAAATTATTATAGTAAAAAGTTATCAGAAACAGTCACATTTAATTTTTTTACTACAGTAAAAAACTCTCACATAAAGTTACATTTCAACTCGAATTAAAAACTCAAATCAACGAACTAAACGGGCCCTAAACAAATATAATTTTTAGTATAATTATTCTTTGAATTTATCGTAATTTATAAATTATCCTTTATATTTTTAATTTTAACAATTAACCCTCCTAAACTTATGAAATTATTACAATATACTTTATTTTACTAAATTTGCTCAATTTTTTTTGGTAAATTAATTGATTACCAGTTGAGAAATTAAAAGATTTATACTATATTTGAATTGAAATGTTAGAGTTTTTCGTCGAACATGCTTTTTGACATTAATTTAACACAATAATTATCAAAATGAGACATATTATAACAGTTTTACAAGTTGAAAGGACAACTTGTAAAACAACTAAAAATTACAAATCAAAAAATTTTTGATACAAATTCGATTGGTAAAAATAGAATCTTGTTTGATAGTTTATTTTTTTAGTGTATAGCAAAAAAATCTACCCTAATCCTATCCTAATCCTAATAAAGAAAGAGCAAAAAGCAAGAGTGTAACATGTTGGGAAAAGAACACCTCTTCACTCAATCTTCTTTATTAGTCACGTATTTTCCTTAAATGGTTAAATAATAGATGGATTAAAATTTTTGTATGATTTCTCATATCACATTGCAGTTTTCAATTTACAACAATGAAAGAGCATTTACTTTTCGAAAAGTATTGGTTTGATTTGATGACGCTTTCAAACAGGGGAGAAATTGTTTTCTCCCGCTGGAAGTCATATTGGAAGGCGTTAGCCCGTTTGGTTCATGGATGAGAATCATGAGATTAGAACCATTTTCGATTTACGTGTGTTTTTTGTGAGAGAAAATACTGTAAAGAACCATGAACCATGAACCATGATTCGAATTAGAAAACGAATCCTCCAACCAAACGGGCTTATATGTGTTTTTATTTTGGGTCTAACACTAGTGAAAAGAGGATTTGAAATTGCATTCAATGGCCTAAATTGACTCAACATAATAAATATTCGACTATGAGGTTTGGTACTTGGATGACTAATAAATCAATTATTTATTCGCTAAATTATGAATTTTCGTCCCAATAAATTAATTTATTAAGTCCTTCATTTTATGACTCAAATCATATTGTTACAGTATCATAAAAATTTAAATTAAACTTTTTTATTACAATATTTTTCTCTTATATACACAACTCAAATCATAACTTAAATTGTGTAAATGAACATACCCTAATTATTCTAATAACATATGTTCTTTTCCTCATAAGAGTGTTTGGTATTGGTAATCTTAACATAAGAATTAGAACCTTCTCATATTTTCATATTTGAAATAAAAATAAAGTTTTTATCTGAGAGCTCCAAAAACCATAAACATGTATAGCCACTGCGCCCTGTAACACCCTGAAGAATTAATTAAGATTAATTAAGGTAATTGAGATTATTAGTGTGCCTAATCTGGATTATTAATTGAGTTTAATTAATAAATGTTTCTGACACGTGTGAGTTTAAATAGTTTCAAGGTATTTAAATTATTCTCAGTAATTTATTTTAACCCAGAAGTGTGTATGGGCGCATTTCTGGACTGTTCTTTTAAAATATTATAAACATGCCCTTTTCCTTTCCTTTTTCCTTTTCTTTTATTTTTCCTTTTCCTTTTCTTTTCTTTTTCTCTTCCTTTCCCGTGCATCTCTCTCCCTCACACTCTCTCTCACTCTCCCGTGCTCTCTCTCACTCTCTCTCTCTCTCTTTCTCTCTCATTTTTTGTCCCAAATCAAACGGATCTTGAACCAAGCAAAGATTTAAAGAAGTTTTCAACGTCAAGAGAAGGATTCGAGGTAAGATTACTGAAAGAACCTCTCTTGAATCTTACGTTTTCAGATTTCAAAACCCATTTTTGGTTCAAACCGGATTTTGATGGTTTTTGAGTAAAACTAGAGTAGAAATTGGAGATCTTGGGTTCTTTGGACTTGTTTTAGGACCTAGAACCCAGATCTAGTGGTTTCCCTTTGAAAAATCTCGATTTGGGACTGGATTTACAGGTTTTGGATCAATTTTTGTGAGCTTCTCTCGCGCAGCTGATTCCACCGGTCGACCAGTGCGGTTGACCGGATCACATGGAAATCGGTCGACCTATGCAGTCGACCAGACTATAAGGCTGACCGGTCGACCGGTACGGTCGACCGGTGTGCACACTACTGGTCGACCGGTAGTGTTGCACTACTCTGTCACCGGTCGACCGGTTGACACGGGGTTTGACCCTGTTCGGCCTGAAATTGCTCTTTTGACCCCTGTTTTTGGGGAGAACCCAAATTAGCTTCATTTGGGGACTTGAGATAGATGGATTAGCATTGTTAATCCTTGTTTTGAGATTGAAAACCCTTGGAATGATAATGTAAAACATTAAAATGGATTAGGGCACACTAATAGGAAGTCTTGGTTGGAAATTGAGATTTGGATTGCTTTAGGAATGAGAATT